AGGGCTGCGCTGGCACGGCGGCGGAACGAGCAGCAGGCAGCGGGGCAGAAACATGCACGTGACTCCCCTGGTCCTCGCAGAACCCCAGGCGGAACGCCTTCCTTCCTTTCCCCTCTGCCGCAAGAGGTACGCCACGACATAAGCGCCGCTCTGTTCCAAACGATTGCTCGCGGAAATTGCAAACGATGCGTACTATGGCGGAGTGGACGACGCAAACAGGCAATAAGAGTAGCAAGTCTACAGATCGACGGAGGGAGGCGGAGAGAGAGAGAGAGAGGGAAACAGGAAAGAGAGAGAGAGAGACACACAGACACAGACAGACACAGAGAGATAAAAGCAGAGCAAGAAAAGAAAGAGAGAGAGAGAGAGCGAGAGAGAGAGCACGCGTTCAACGCAACGGCCCCAAAAAAAACTCTCCCCCCGGGGCCCGGCCGCATCCTGCGCCATCGACATGGCCTGCTCCATGGACGGCGGCGGCGGCTCCCAGTGCCGCCCGCCGACGAAGCCTCGAGAGAGCGCGCGCGGGCCCTCCTCCGTCTCCCTCGCCCCTCGCCCTCCTCGCCCTTCTCTCCCTCCTCGCCCTCCTCGCCATCCTCGCCCTCCTCGCCCTCCTCACCATCCTCGCCATCCTCGCCCTCCTCGCCCTCCTCGCCCTCCTCGCCCTCCTCGCCCTCCTCGCCCTCCTCGCCCCTCCTCGCCTCTACGCCCTCGCCCTCCTCGCCCCTCGCCCTCATCGCCCCCCTAGCCTCTGCGCCTCGCGCCTCCCCGCCCCCCTCGTCGCTCCTCGACCTGCCTCGCCCCTCCTGGGCTGCAGTGCTAATGACTGCTGCAACCCCCTGGCCGGATGGCCCCTGGACGGGGCCCTTCCGCGGATCGCCAATCCGATCCGATCCTCGTCCCCTTCTCGCCCCCTCCTGCTCCTCCTGACCCCTGCCGCCTCCCCTCCTCCGCCTCCACGCTCACTCGCTCGCCCACTCCTCCTCCTCATCCATCCTTCCTTCCTGCTCGCCCCTCCTTCCTCCTCCTCCTCCTCCTCCTTCTCCTCCTCCTCCTCCTTCTCCTCCTATTCCTCCTCCTCCTCATCCTCATCCTCCTCCTCCTGCTCCATCTCCTCCTCCTCCTCCTCCTCATCCTCCTCCTCCTCCTCCTCCTCCTCTTCCGTCTCCTCTTGTTTCTCATCCTCCTCCTCCTTCTCCTCATCCTCCTCCTCCTTCTCCTCCTCCTCTTCTTTTAGTATTAGTCTTCTTTCTCCTCCTCCTCCTCCTCCTCCTCCTCCTTCCTCCTCCTTCCTCCTTCCTCCTTCCTCCTCCTCCTCCTTCCTTCCTCCTTCCTCCTTCCTCCTTCCTCCTTCCTTCTTCCTCCATACTCATCCCTCCTTCCTCCTTCATCACTCCTCATTCCTCCTTCCTCATCCTCCTCCTCCTCCTCATCATCATCATCCTGCTCCTGCTCCTCCTGTGGGTCGGTCTCGCCTCGATTTGTTGGCCGCCGTTTGGCGGCGCTCTGTGGTCCCGCGTTCCTCGTCGCTATGCTGGATTCCCTCGTTTTCCTGCCGCCTTTGGGTGGCCTTCTGGCGTTCCTCGTCGCGACGCTGGATTCGTCTCGTCCGCTAGGCCATTGGGCTCGGCACGGCGGCTTCTGCATAGGTAGGGGCGCCTCGGCCTGCGTGCCAGCATCCCGAGATAAGGATGGTATAATCGGAAGCCTCGGAAGCCTCTTCCTCCTCCTCCTCTTTTCTCCTCCATCCCTTTTCCTGAAAAAATACTCCTCCCTGTCGCACCCCGAGACTAGTTTGTAGGGCGCACCGGGCGTGTCGCCGGAGACTTCCTCAACCATTATGATCCTAAGCTTAGAACTTGCCAGAGCTTCACGAATGGAGGGCGATCCGTTTTCAAAATGTAGCTCCCGCCTTAGCGCCGAGCACAGTCGTCTTGAGAGCTTACAACAGTGGTCTTCACATCCCAGATATGGTGTTGTGGCACGATGCAGGACTGTCAGAGCGCAACAGTTACGTTGATTCGCGGTGTTGAGGTCCCAGGAATGGTGTTCTGGCATTGTCAGGACGCAACAGTAACGTTGATTCGCGGCGTTGAAGTCGCACGAATGTTCTGGCACGGTTGGAATGTTCAAACGGGTGTCTTCCAACGGGGCGATTCCCTCAGTGAAAATAAACCCTTTTAAGGACATATGATGCGGGAATTTGGAGGGAGGGGTCATTGCAACATCGTTGATGAGTCTTGGGGTTACACCGGTCCCTGCTCCTCCTCCTCCCCCGCCTGCTCCTCCTCCTCCTTCCCCTCCTCCGCACCCACTCGATCGTTCGATCACTCCTCCTCCTCTTCCTCCCCCATCATCCTCCCTTTCCTCCTCCTCTTCCTCCTCCTCCTCCTCGGGCTCCTCCTCCTGCTCCTCCTCCTGCTCCTCCTCCTCCTCATCATCATCCTCCTCCTCCTCATCCTCCTCCTCCTCCTCCTCTTCCTCCTCCTCCTCTTCCTCCTCCTTCCCTTTCCTAATATACATAACTCCCCCCTGTCGCACCCCGAGGCCCGTCGGAAGGGCGGGCTCGGCATTTCACCTGAGACTTCCTTACCATGTACGATCCTGAAGCTCAGGCGGGTCGCTTCCTAAATGTGGATCTCCCTCGAGCGCCGCGCACACTCGTCTTAAAAAAATGCCAGAGCTTTGCGGATTGAAGGCGGTTCTTTTTCAAAATGTGGCTCTCGTTTAATCGCCGCGCACATTCGTCGTTAAAAGTTGCAAGAACTTCACGGATTGAGGGCGGATCCTTTTCAATATGTGGCTGTCGCCTTAGCGCTACACACAGCCGTGCTGAAAAATGCCAGGGAGTTTCACCGATGGAAGGCGGTTCCTTTTCAAAAAATGTGTATCTCGCCTTAGTGCCGCGCACATTCGTCATGCACGGCTGCAAAAGTTCACGGGTGTCCATGGTTAACGCACATGAGATGCCTTGAAAAAAATCAGGATTGACAGGGCGCAGCAGTTAGGTTGACTCGCGGAGCTGACGTCCCAGTAGTGGTGTTCTGGCACGATTCAGGATCGTCGAGACGCGACAGTCAGGTTGACTCGTGGCGTTGAAACTCCGAGGACGGTATTGTGGCGCGCGTAAGGGTCTTCAAACGGTTGTCTCCCAACGGGGCGATTCCCTCAGAGGGAATGAACCCTTGTGGGGGCCCATGAAGAGGGAGCTTAGAGAGAAGGTTTCTTCCAACATCGTTGATGAGTCTTGGGTTTACACTGGTCCTCCTCGCTCCACCTCCTCCTCCTCCTCCTCCTCCTCCTCCTCCTCATCCTCATCCTCATCCTCATCCTCATCCTCCTTCCTCCTCCTCGTCATCATCCTCCTCCTCCTAATCCTCCTCCTCATCATCCTCCTCCTCCTCCGCCTCCTCCTTCTTGCGCAGGCAAAGGGAGGGATCTGCAGCTCCAGCGTACAGCGCGGAAATGGACGCCCGCGCGGCGGCACACCGTGCCATACACTGCGATCCGCACTCCTGGCGCATGGGGAATATCCGCAACCGTGCCTCTGGGCACGGAGTGGTCGTGTCCTCAGGTCCTTCACCCAACCGTCTAAGCCTCAGTCCTCGCTCCTGATGAGTCTCTTAGGGGCCGGGAGCCCAAATTCTCAAATCTTCTTGGGCTTTGCGCATCTTCTCGCGTGACCGTTTCGGGCCCAAGAGGGCTCCCAAACCCAGGCACGGTGGCGGGATGGGCCGAAGGCCATCAGATCCGCCGCCCCCTGTCGATTCATCACAAGGGTGCCTGGCGTGCTGAACCCTCTAGGTTTTGGTTTGGGTTCTTTTTCCAAAAGAACTCCCCCTGGGGCTTCGGCCCGTCCCGCCGGCCACCCGGAAGGCGCTCAATTCCCCAATATCGTCGGCTTTTTCGCTCAAGATGGCCGAAGATGGCCTCCAACATGCCTCCAAGACGGCCAAGATGGCCTCCAAGGCGGCTAAGATGGCCCCAAGATGCCTCCAAGACGGCCCAAGATGCACCCAAGACCGCCTAAGATGGCCTCAAGATAGCCCAAAACGGCCCAAGAGGCTCCCAAGAGGCCTCCAAGATGGCCCAAGACACCCCAAGAGGCCTCCAAGACGGGCCAAAGAGGCCTCCAAGAGGTCCTCCAGGAAGGCCCGAAGAGGCCAAAATCATTGGTTTCCCTCAGGTTTTTGGAGGATTTGGGCATTTGCGCATTTTCGGCTTTCCAACGGCCCAAGACGGCCCAAGAGGCCCCCAAAGTCGTCCCAAGATCGCCCAAGAGGCCTCCAAGATGGCCCCATGACGGCCCAAGAGGTCCCCAAGACGGCCCGAAGACGGCCCCAAGACGGCCTCCAAGACGGCCAAGATGGCCCAAGATGGCCTCCAAGATGCCCCCAAGACGGCCAAGATGGCCTTCAAGACGGCGAAGATGGCCCCAAGATGCCTCCAAGACTGCCCAAGAGCCCTCCAAGACGTCCTCCAAGAAGGCCCGAAAGGGTCGAAATGGCCTCCAGACGGCCAAGATGACCTTCAAGATGCCCACGTGTGCCCCGAAGGCTTTCCAAACCGATTCGGGGAACACATGGTCCGATAGCTTGGCAGGCCTCTGGCCACAACCTTCGGCCACATAGGCGCTTCCAAAAAGGCAGTGGGCGGCGGTGATTCGCCGTAGGCGTCTTCGATCCGCCGCCCCCTGTCGATTCATCGCAGGGGTACCTGGCGTGCTAGACCTCTCGGTTTTGGTTTGTGTTCTTTTTCCAAAAGAACTCTCCCAGTGGGCTTCGGCACGTCCCGCCGGGGTGCCGGGAGGATTGCCCAGGACCCCAAAGTCCCGAAAAAATCCTCCAAGACGGCTTAAGATGACGTCCAAGATGGCCAAGATGGCCTCCAAGATGGCCACGTTGGCCCAAGATGGCCTCCAAGATGGTCCAAGATGGCCTCCAAGTCCGCCCAAGATGGTCCAAGACGGCCTCCAAGACGGCCCAAGAGAGTCCAAGACGGCCCAAGACAGCCCAAGAGGCCCCCAGAGGCCTCCAAGACGGCCCAAGAGGCCTCCAAGAGGTCCTCCAGGAGGGCCCGAAGAGGCCAAAAATCATTGATTCTCCTTAGGTGTTTGAAGGATTTGGGGATTTGCTTCTTCTCGGCACTCCGACGGCTCAAGACGGCCCAGGCGGCCCCCAAGAGGCCCCCAAGAGGGCCCCATGACGGCCCAAGTGGCCTCCAAGACGGCCCCAAGAGGGCCCCAAGACGGCCCAAGAGGCCTCCAACATGCCCAAGATGGCCTCCAAGACCCCCAAGACGGCCTCCAAGACGGCCCCGAAGCGCCCCAAGAGGGCCCCAAGTCGGCCCAGAAAAGCCCCCAAGACGGCTCCCGACGGCGTCAGACGTGCCAGAAACCCACCAAAATGGCCGAGATTGGCTCAAAGCTGGCCCAACACGGCCCAAGAGGCCCCGAAGAAGGCCTCCAGGACGGCCAGAAAATGCCAAAAACATTGATTTTGCTAAGGTATTTGACGGATTTTGACATTTGCTTCTTTTTCGGCCTTCCGACGGCCCGAGACGGCCCAAGAGCCCCGATCGCCCGAAAGATCGCCCACGAGGCCTCCAAGATGGCCCCAGAACGGCCCAAGAGGGCCCCAAGACAGCCCCAAGAGGCCCCCAAGACGGCACAGGAGGCCTTTAAGACGCCCAAGATGGCCTCCAAGACGGCCCTGGAGCATTCCAAGAGGGCCCCAAGTCGGCCCATAGAGGCCCCCCAAACGGTTTCCGACGGCGTCAGACGGACCAGGAGCCCACCAAGACGGCCGAACATGGCCCTAAGATGGCCCAAGACGGCCCAAGAGGCCTCCAAGAGGGCCTCCAGGAAGGCCCGAAAAGGCCAAAATCATTGATTTGCCATGGGTTTTTGAAGGAGTGTGGCATTTGCCTTTTTCTGCCTTCCGAAGGCCCGAGACGGCCCAAGTGCCCACAAAGATCGCCCAAGAGGCCCAAGACACGGCCCCAAGAGGCCCCCAAGACGGCCCAAGAGGTCTCGAAGACGCTCAAGATAGCCTCCAAGACGGCCCAAGAGCCCTCCAAGACGTCCTCCAAGAAGGCCCGAAAGGGTCAGAATGGCCTCCAGACGGCCAAGATGACCTTCAAGATGCCCACGTGTGCCCCGAAGGCTTTCCAAACCGATTCGGGGAACACATGGTCCGATAGCTTGGCAGGCCTCTGGCCACAACCTTCGGCCAGATAGGCGCTTCCAAAAAGGCAGGGGGCGGCGGTGATTCGCCGTAGGCGTCCTCGATTACTGAATCCAGACCCATGCCCAAAAGCCCCAGAATACCAAGAAGCCGACTGCGATTGGCAACACGGTGAAGGGCAAGAGCGGCAAGAAATGCTGCAGATGCACCGTGCTGGAGCTGGACGACCGGGCCGTGAAGGCCCGCTGGTCTGATGGCTCGGAGGCCAGAGGTCGCCCGCGCAGCAGTCCGCAGGAAGACACAAGAGCCCGCTTGCACACCGCCCGTGCGGCCACCATCGACCCCATACAGCAGACGTCAAGCACTGTGTGGGTATTGGCAGCTAGGGCGACGTCACGACGGCGCTGCGCGTGCTCCCGCAACCCTCCCCCGCGACCTGGGTCGTCACGTCTCGCGAGGGCACGGAGGAGGCTCCCCGGAACGTCCAGGGAACCTCGCGGCGGTGACGCACAGATTCATCTGCCCGAAGGCCGAGGCAAGGCGCGGAGGGGCGCCCACGAGGCGCCCACGGGCGGGCACCAGGCGAAACTTCGGCACACCGACCCGACGCACGAGGCGCCCACAAGGCGCCACCTTGCACCCGTCCATCGCGGACGCCCACGAGGCGCCCATGGGCGCCCACCAACGGGGCACCAGCCAAGAACCCCAGCACCTCCAGAAAACAGCGGCGGTGGAAACTCCACGCCGGGCCGCTGAGCTCAGAGGAAATGATCCTGGCGAAGGTCCCAAGCATATGCAATTGTGGGTACCATAATTGTGAATATTTGCTTCGGTGAAGCTCCCTATGGGGCCACGAAGCGCTGCACTGGGCGGGGGGGAACGCTGTACTGTGTGGGTGGTGCGCCGAATTGGACTTCCGGGACGCATGCGGACGGTCCCACTGAGGGCTTCGGTGGAGCTCCCTATGGGACCACGAAGCGCTCTACTGAGTGAGTGAAAATGCCAAATTTGGCCACCGGGACGCATGCGGACGGTCCCACTGGGGGCTTCGGTGGAGCCCCCTATGGGGCCACGAAACGCTGCACTGCACGGGTGAAAATGCCAAACTACATTTCCCGGACGCATACGGACGGTGGCACTGGGGCCTTGGGTGGAGCCCCCTATGTGGCCACGAAACGCTGTACTGGGTGGGTGAAAATGCCAAATTGGGCTTCTGGGACGCATGCGGACGGGGGCACTGGGGCCTTCGGTGGAGCTCCCTATGGGGCCACGAAACGCTGTACTGGGTGGGTGAAACGCAGGGAGGAGGGGGAGGAGGGCCACGAAAACGCTGTACTGGGTGTCCGGGACGCCTGCGGACGGCAGCACTGGGACCTTCGGGGGACTGGTCGAGGCAGCCACCGCAGCGGCGCCCCACATCGGGGCACAAATCATGACATGCACGAAAGCTTTCGGAGATCCGCGGGGAGTTCTGCGCTCTGCGCTGGCGCCCCCTCTGGCGGCGCCCCAGCGCGCTCCGCGCGCCAGGGAACACGGGGCCAGCGCAGATCCAAGAGATATCAGTGCGGACTTCCGACATTTATGTTTGCGCTCTTTCCTGTTCCTCGACCACTCCCAACCCTCCACCCATCCTTGCCGCAGCATGATGTATGTCCCCCCCCTGTTTCTCCGACCCTCTCTCTCTGCCATCTTCCTCTCTCTCTCTCTCTCTCTCTCTCTGGTGCAACGAACTGGCCGCTCTGGTGCTGCTGCTCCTGGCCTTGGGCACGGATCTGGAGCAGGTGCGGCCTGCACCGCTTTCCCATCTCGCCCATCAGCTCAAGCACCTCCACTCTCGAGGACAAGTGCCCTTCTTCGAGCGTCGCTTTGGTGCTGTCGGCCACATATTGGCGGCGCACGCAAGGGGGTGGAGGGAAGAGGGAGGGCTTCTTAGAACGAGGCCGCTTCTCGGAAGGCGCAGGCCCTGCATCTGCAGATGAGGCCCGCGAATTCTGAGAAGCAGGGGTGCTCCCGAGAAGCCCCTCCCCCCTCCCCCCAACCCCCTCTGCACGTGGCTCGGCCGTCCCTTCCCCTCCGCTCGCTCGTCCGTCCCCTCCCCTCTCATCCCCCCTCCCGAGGCGGGCCAGCCGCTCCCCCGCACGCCGGCCTGGCGCCCGCCCTTCCCCCCCGAAGCACGCCGGCCGCCTCGCCACCCCACCCCCCCCTGGCGGGGGTCGGCCCGGCAGCGGCGCGCCGTGGACGCTGTAGCCGTCGTTGCCCCAGGCGTCCTGAGGCGGGCACCAGCAGGGCTGGGTTTCAGTCGGGCCTGTCCCCCTACAGGGGGGAGTCTGGCCGAAGAATGAAAAATAGTCCAAAAAAATATCCCGCGAAATAACCAAAAAATGCTCAAACAATCGTCCCCAGACTATCTTTTAAACCATTTCTGAACATTCCCCCTGTAGAGGGACAGGCCCGGCTCAAGGCTGGGTTCAGTGCGGGCGCGCGCCTCCTCTGGGTTTCTTATGAAGCGTGGGGGGGTAGCCCCCCGACGGGGGTCAGCCTCGCCTCGTCGTCGCGCCGCGACGGGGGTCGGAGCACCTTCGGCGCGCGGTGGCTGCCCGCGACGGGGGTCGATGTGGGGCTGCCGGCGGGGGTGACGCCCCCCGACGCTTATTGAGACACTCGGAGTACATGGATCAGGGATCAGGGGTACGTTGATCTGGTGCGCGGTCGCCAGAGCCATGGATCGGGGAGAAGACCCCCGAGAGATGGCGCCGATGCTGCCCGATGTGGTGGCGGAGCGCGCCGATTCTGTACGGAAATGGGACCCCTCGACAGTCCGCGCGCCCCAGTCCAGGCTTGTGCTTCTTCGATTCGTGGGACCCGGTTTAGTGATGCGTGCCTGGAGCCGCCTCCCCCGCCCCAGTCCACCGATCGGGACTGCCGTCGCCCGCAGAGCGCCAGCTACAGCAGACCTGGCTTAGTGCTCCCAACACATCTTTTGGCTTCGGGGCCCCATCACTGACCGGCTACCCTGGCCCAGGGCACCAGATATACCCGACTGAGGCCCGCCAGCCGCGGTGGGGAGGGGGGAGCGCTGGCGGGCGGGGGGCGCGCCGCGGGAGGGCATGGTGGATCGGCGACACATCGGCGACGCGTTGGCGGCGTCGGGATGGACAGCATCGGGCTGCGGCGCGGTCCTGCGGCGCCTCCCACGCTGTCGGAGCTTGCCTCCTGCCCTGGCCCTACACGGGCCGCCAGGCCGCCGCCCTGCGGCCGTCTGGCTTTGGGGGCATCAGCGAGAGCCAGCCTGGACAACATGCAATCGCCATCCGCTCGACGGGTCCTCGGTTCCCGACGCGGACATGCGGTGCCGTCGAGGAGTGAACGGCGGGAACCCGACAGGAGAGGGGCAGGCAAATCCATGCGAGACGCCCCTCTACTGCCCCCACCTTCCCTGCCCGAAGCTAGCGTGCACCATGGGCATCATGCTGAAGGGAGCAGAGTGAGAGGAGAGAGACAGGGCGAGGGAGAAAGGAAAAGGAAGAGGGAGAAGGAGAGAGAGAGAGAGGGCGAGAGGGGGACGGAGATGTAGAGAGTGAAGGAACGGAACAGGGGAGGGCGAGGGCGGGTGCGAGGAGAGGGGGCAGGAAGATGAGATATGATGGAGTGAGGATAAGAAGGACGAGAATGAAGCGAGGCGGACCCTCGACGGGCAGCCCTACATTGGGAACGGTCAAACCCTCGATCGGAGGCCCCTCGGAAAGAGAGAGTCCGCGCGCAGCGAGGCCTCTTGGAGATCCTGCGTGGGGTAGTTGCGCCACATGGACCTCACTGACCTGCCCGCCCGTCCGAAGGCCAGACAGAGGAGGCGTTGGAGGACCCGGCGCTCACTGAGGCGCGAGAGAAAAGCGACCGCGGCAGCGGCAATGGAAGCAACCACAGTAGCGACGGCAGCCGCGGCGACAGCCGCCACTGCCGGCAGCAGGCGCGGGACCAAAGGACCCGGGCAGCCTCCTCGTGTTCCTCTTCCTCCTCCTCATCCTCCTCCTCCTCCTCCTCCTCCTCCTCCTCCTCCTCCTCCTCATCCTACCCCTCCTCCCTCCTCCTCCTCCTCCTCCTCCTCCTCCTCCTCCTCCTCCTCCTCCTCCCTCCTCCCTCCTCCTCCTCTCCTCCTCCTCCTCCTCCTCCTCTCCTCTCCTCCTCCTCCTCCTCCTCCCTCCTCCTCCTCCTCCTCCTCCTCCCTCCTCCTCCTCCTCCTCCTCCTCCTCCTCCTCCTCCTCCTCCTCCTCCTCCCTCCTCATCATCATCATCATCATCATCATCATCATCATCATCATCATCATCATCATCATCATCATCATCAGCATCATCATCATCATCATCATCAGCATCAGCATCTGCCTCAGCCTCAGCATCAGCATCAGCATCATCGTCATCAACATCATCATCATCATCAGCATCATCATCATCATCATCATCATCATCATCATCATTCATCACATCATCACATCATCACCATCATCATCATCATCGTCGTCGTCATCATCATCATCATCATCACCACCACCACCACCACCATCACATCATCACCACCACCACCACACCATCATCATCATCATCATCATCATCACCATCATCATCATCATCATCATCATCATCATCATCATCATCTCATCATCATCATCATCATCAGCATCATCATCATCGTCATCATCATCATCATCATCATCATCATCATCAGCATCAGCATCATCATCATCAGCATCATCATCATCATCACCATCAGCATCATCATCCCCCTCCCCTCCTCTCCCTCTTCCTCCTCCTCCTCCCTCCTCCTCCTCCTCCTCCTCGTCCTTATTCTCCTCCTCGTCCTGTTGCTCCTCCGCCTCCTCCTTCTCCTCCTCCTCCTCAATCTCGTCCTCCTCCTCCTCCTCCTCCTCCTCCTCCTCCTCCTCCTCCTCCCTCCTCCTCATCCTCCAGCGGAGACGCAGCAGTTAGAGACCCAGCACAAGATGGCAGTGGAGCAGGCGTTGAAGGAGCACGTCAGCACCTCGGCCCCCTCGCTGGAGACGTACATCATCAGCCAGTTCCCACCTGGGCTCGCGCCGTCCGCGGAGGTGAAGCAGGCCGTCGTTCAGTTGTCGGCAAAGCTACATGATGAGTGGCAGGCAGCCCAGGCAACCCAGGCCAGCTCCCAGCAGGCCCAGACGGCGACCCAGGGGGCGGCGGAATCCCAGACGGGCTCCGAGGCGGGGGCCGCAGTCCCAATCGCAGCTGATGCTGACCCGAGGGCGCCGTCGCAGGCCACCGCCACCCCATCGGGAGATGTCAGCCCCGAGCTGGCAGCCAGCCTGGACGTCGAGGCCGAGGCCATGCAGCTGGACCATGACGAGGCTGACAAGCGGAGCCAGGGCATGAAGCGTGTAGGCGAGGCGATCGACCAGGTTCTGAACATCAACGGCCAGAACTCGGCGCTCACGCCCCAGCAGCAGATGGCCAACGCGGCGCCCCAGTCCAGCGCGAAGGCGCTCTGCCTGGCCAACAAGGGCAAGGGCGGCAAGGGGACGGACGGGGCGCCGTGTGGGTAACACGGTCAGGTTCGCCACTATCAATGGAAGCTGCTGGAGATCTATTCGGGAGTTTCTGGAGTCTAAAGCAGCCGAGACGGTGGACATCATCTGCTGTCAAGAACTTCGGGTATTGAAGGATGCGCTCCCGTTCATCGTACAATGGTGTGAGCGAGAGGGGTGGAACGCGATACTCTCTCCAGCCGTGCTCAGTGAGAAAGGGTACCCTGCCCAAGGGACAGGGATTTTGATTCGTGATTGGCATGACTATGGAGTATCACGTGTGCCAGTGCCTGCAGGGGTAGTAGAGTCACGGTGCACAGCAGTTTCACTTGAGCTTCCTGGAAATCGTCTATTCGTATTTGTTTCACTTTACTTGGCCGACGGGATGGGGCTCAACCAGTATAACTTAGAGCACTTAGCTGGGGTTGGAATGATTCAGGACGCTGTACGACAGCCACTCATCATTGCTGGGGATTTCAATGTTCCGACGAGTAAGCTAATCGAGTCGAACTACCCGCTGAGAGCAGGCCTTAAGATTTTGGCCCCGACAAAACCAACATATAAGATGAAGAAGTCTGAGTCCATCATCGACTTCGTTCTCGCCTCGTCGCGTTTCGACCAGGACCTCTCGGGGGGGCACGGTTCTCGACGAGTACCCCACGAGCCCGCACAGGCCCGCGCTGCTCCAGCTGCGCTGCTGGAAGCCCTATATGGTGCCAGCCTTGGAGAAGCCCCAACCATTTGCTACCTCCAGGCCTCATGGGCCTACCAACCACGTGCCGTCCTGGGACCGTACGGAGGCTGCCTTGGATTTCCTGGACCAGGTTATCGATCGAGAGTCTGGGATTGAGGCCCGCTTGCTGGCCCTATATTCGGCATACCAATACTTCGCCTCGGACATGGCGAAGACGATCAGTATTCGCACGGACACTCCGATCAAGTCGCCCACGGCCCCGCGGGCGGGCCTCCCTAAGATCCGCCGGGTACCAGGAGCCGCTCGAGAGGTGGAACCCAGGGCCAGCTGGGGGAGTCTATCAATTCCGATTCGATGGTTGAAAAAATGGACGCCATCCGACGGGTTTATTCCAAGGGGGAGTTTTACCTGTCGGAGATTTTGACCAGCATCCAGTCGCCACCCCCAGAGCTCGAAGGTACCGAGGAGTTCGCCCGTTTGCTCGCCAGTGTTAGGACTGCTCTAGGCGCTGCTGCCCAAGACCAGGACAATGGCCAGATGGACCCCAAGCTCGTGTTGAAGGTATTTGAAGAGCTCGATGATTCAGTTGATCACGCGCTCAAAGCTGAGGAGGCCAAGGACCGACAAAGTGAAACAACGTCTTGGAACAACTGGGTCCAGGAGGCCATGTCGCGGGGTGTCGGTTGGGCCCATCGCTGGACCTCAACGCTCACTTCCTGGCAACCTCAGAAAGTTTGGCGCCCCGAGCTGCAGACATTTCCAGGTCGGCCTTCAGAGTTGCTCCAGTCCGACGCAGCCCGCCTGGCAGGATTGCGGCAGGCCGCGCCGCAGGAGCAGGACTTTAACTTGCCGCCGGCCGAGCGCGACCGCTTGGAGCCCATCACGCATGGCCAGATCAGACCAGCTGCCAAAAGATTTCCAACATCTACCAGCCAGACTTGGGATGGGTTTCACCCTCGTCACTTTGCTTATCTCAGCAATGTGGAACTGGAGCATGTGTGTAAGCTTTTGACAGCGATCGAGGAGATTTGAGTATTTCCGACAGCCATTCGTGGCGTCATTATCACGCTGATTGAGAAGCACAAGCCTGACCAGTCTGAGGGCCCCTCGTACCGCGGAATCGGTTTGCCACCTGCCCTCTGGAGGGCGTGGTCCAAAATTCGCCAAGGGGAAGCTCGTCGGTGGGAAGGGCCAACAAGAGGCCTTATCTTGCTCATCAGTCTGGTCGAGGTGCGCTTGAAACTGTTTACGCTCAGGCCTTGAAGGCCGAACTTGCTGGTTACCAAGCTGCCCACACTGGTGGGGTTTTATGGGATTTATCTAACTAGTATGAGAATGTCAATCGGAAGAAATGGAAATCTCGGGCGATCTCTTCTGGATTTTCGGAGACGCTTACGTGTATTATGATGAACCAGTATGGGGGCCCCAGGGCTGTTGCAACCAGAACATTGGCTACCTACGCGGGGCGTGCTACCAAAGGCTTCCCTGCTGGCTGCTCGCTTGCGACCTACAACGTCCAAATGTATACGGTTCCCCCCATTGGACTCCTGGGTTCCGAAGTTCCCCACCGTGGACCCCTCAATCTGCATGGGTGATTTCATGTTGACAAGCAACAACACAAGTGCTCGCCTGTTGGTGTCGGACCTGGCGCAGGCCTCCGACAGCATGCTAGATTTAATCGAGGAGGACCTCGACTGCTCGGTCGCCTTACACAAGGCAGCGGTGCTGGGCTCGTCCGCTGCAGCACAGCATCGCCTGGCCAAAGCTCTAGGTAAGTACAGTGGACCAGAGGGAGTCAACCAAGCACAGCCTGCGCCAAACCTCGGAGTCGATTTCACCATGAGCAACAGGGTCTCGAATAAGGCCCGAAAAACTCTGGCGAAGCGAACCTCCAAGATGAAACGTCGACTCCACCGCATGGCCCAGATTAGGCGAGCAGGTGCGAATATGCGGAAGATTTATCAGACAGGTTTGAAGGCAGCCGCCTACTATGGCGCGGAGGTCGTCGGCCTCACCAACCCTGAGTTGCACGAAGCCCAGCCCCTCTACCTCAAGATTATAGGGCCCCGCTGTGCTACAAGATCCAGGTCCCCGGCATTATCGATATTGGGGGGCCCGACTTGGAGTGCTGCCCTGGGGCCGGCCTGTTATTGGGCCAACCTGATCTGGAGAGTTGCTCATTATCCTGGTACGATCGGCTTTTCTCTGGTGGGACTCCGTGAACAAGCAGCCCTCCAGGTCCTCCACAAGCCCCCTACGAAGTGGTACCAGATCCGCGGGCCCTTAGGGGCCACGATGCTCAGCCTGAGCCGCCTGGGGTGGTCCATGCCCGACCCGCTCGTCTTTCGTGACTCGCAAGGCCAGGACTACCCACTCATCACTACCTCCCCTGCCCTCATCAAGAAGCTGTTTCAATCCCAGTGGCAGTTGCAGTTAGACGCGAAGGCGGGGCAGAAGCTCGGTTTCGACGAGCCCCTCGACCCGTCGGTCATGCAGCGCGCGCTGCAGGACAGTACAGTGCAGGCCTACAAGAGGAACACGCTGCTTTCATATGGCTGCCAGTGCATTT